CTCGGGGGCGAGGGGTATATATAGGCATCTCATTGGTCTCGGTTCGTGGCTGAAACCGGGACTAAAGTGCAACCTTTGGTCCCGGTTCAAGCCACCAACCGGGACTAATGGTGGTGGGCCAGGAGCGAGGCCGATTGGTCCCGGTTCGTCCCACCAACCGGGACCAAAGGGGCCAGACGAACCGGGACCAATGGCCCCACGAGGCCTGGCAGGCCCCCTGGCCTCACGAACCGGGACCAATGTCCCCATGGGTCCCGGTTCGTGACTGAACCGGGACTAATGGGCTTATTTGGCCCAAACGAAAGCCCTGTTTTCTACTAGTGTGCTCGATCATTGGGCTATCTTCTTAGGCCACGGATAAGGGTAGGGTTGGCGACCTTGGCAAGGCGCTTCTGCACCTCCTTGTCCGAATCGTAGGTGTGGAGCTTACCCGCCCGCTAGTACTCCTCCACCACGTCTTCCTCCTCCATGGCCATGTTTTGCTCGTAGCTTGCATATGCGGCCTCGCGGAATGCCTGCCGCGCCACCCGCCGCACCACCTTTTGTTTCTCCCTCTCCGTCATCACCCTGTCGCGCCGCTCTTTCGGGCTACCGGCGCTGGCGACGCCCGCCGTCTTCTCTGCGCTCGAGCTGGTGACGCCCGCCATGCCTCCTCGATCGATCTTCGACCTTTGCATCCTTCCCTAGCATGTAGATCTCACCTACATCCCAAAATCACCACCGGTATACCCGTGGTTGTGGTTAGATTCAATCGTGTCTTGGCCTTCCGCATGCTCGTTTGCTTCCTTTATAGATGGCTCGTAGGTTTTTCTTTTTTAACCTAGACGACCCGTGGGCTAAGAGCATCTACAACCCGACCCTCAAACATCGACGGACGTGCCCGGGCGCGTCCACAGGCACTGATTGGTCACGCCTCAAATTAACCACTTTGCATCTACATCTCTCATGTTTCATCCCTTAAATTCATACAAAGTATGCAAAAGAAATCCTACGTACTACCCTAGCTACTCTTCATTTTCGGAGATGTCCACGACGAGGGTGCCGGGTGCCGGTTGGACGGGCGGGTAGGAGGGCTCAGGTTCATCCTCCTCCTGCTCGATCACCCATGTAGGCGAACATCTCCGCTTCCTCCGCGGCAACTTGCGCCTCCATCTCCCGTCGGTGACGGCGTCTTGCCTCCGCAGCCGACTCCGACCGGAGGGAATCGAGGATGGTCTACTGCTCCGTCTGCAGGTCCCCGTCGCTAGCGTCCTCCACATCCTCCTCCTTCGGCTCACCCCCTCCTCCTTCAAGTCCTCCTCCTTGAAGGCCTCCTCGTCATCATCGTCGTCCTCTTCCTCCTCCTCCTCCTCCAACTCCAACTCATCCTCCAGATCCACTACATCTGGAGATAGCCCCGCGGCGATTTGGGCTTCGCAAATAACCCAGATCTGCTCAAGGAGCTCGAGCCGGCGCTTCGGCGTCAGAAATGGCTCGCTCCTCACCCAGCGGCGTGGGTGCATGACTACTAGGCGGACGGGTGGAGTGGAAAGTGGCAGCGGCGACGAACATGTGGAGGATAATGTGGATGGATGGTAGGGTTTCTGTGCCGCCGGTCGACTTAAATAGTCGAACAATGCACTACACGGCCCACCGGTGCTGCGCCACTGGTCCGATGGAGGAGACAAGCTTCGGACCGCCGAGTTTGATGGCGTTTCCGGCTGGGACCCCTTCGTTAGTCCTACGTGGCGGGCGAGCCCAGGCACCACCATATCTGCCCCATATTTGGGTTGGATATGGAAGGTGTCGATCAGCACGGCCGTTTGAGGCCGTTTGAGGCGTCCGTCTAGATCTAAAAACGTGACCGGTCAGTGATCGGGTGGCCCGCCCGGACGTATAAGGCGGGTTTAAGAGGTCTGGCTGTAGATGCTCTAATTTAGGACCAATAAGCATACTCATCAGTGTACATATACTAAAGCAGGTAGAGTTTAATTTGTCCTTTTTTTGAATTTTTTTAGAAGGTTGCTTTTTTTTTGCGTGGTGAAAAATAGTTTATTCTAAAGTTATAGGGTTACAATCTCGAGACAACTGCTCCTCACAACATGAAGGACTCGAGTTCAACCATACCAATGGTGACAATACTGATGCATAGTATCTGTACTTGAAACAGTGTCTTCTTATTAACCGTACTTCAGCAAAAAAAATGTCTTCCTTTTTACATACTTTAGCAAAAAAATGACTTCCTTTTTACATATTGAATATCATCGCAATTTTTTATGTTTAAAGAAAGAGATTACTCATTTTATTTTTTTTGTAGGTCCGTTCTTACGCACTGGTACCCCCACATTCTTACGCATTGGTACCCCACGATTTTATGTCCCTCCAATGGTTTAAATGAAATATGATTTTAAGAGAACAGTAACCCGAATAAACCATAACAACAAACCCGAGGAAACCAAAACACTATTACGGGAACAATAATTTCGTGTGCGACAGTGTTTACGCCCGGGGTGTTATACCCGTCGAATAAACTGAAATATATGCCCATACTCATCCCAAAACAAGAGAACATAACTTTGAATGAACATAACTTTGAATGAACAATACCCAGTGCATCCACATGAACAGAAAATCGAGAAAATATATAAAAAGCCCTAAGAAATTTTTAAACAAAAGTGATAAAGGATTGTTTAACCTTTTTAAAGAATTTTAATATTACCTAATGTCGAGTAATTACTTGTTGTAGGTCAGTTTAGGCTGGTCATAGTGGGAGTAACATAGGTAGTAACATAGATGCCACATAAGCAAAAGTGTTGATGTGGCAAGTAATTAATGAGGAGAGAGGCAAATAGAGTAACCTAATATGTTACCATCACATAGCGCTTTCCAATGTAAAATGAGTCTACAAGACAATAAATGAACATGTGTATGTTACTACACATATGACACTTCCCACTATAAGGGTAGTAACATAGAGTAGTAACGTATGCATGTTACTACTCTAAGTTACTCTCCACTATGACCAGCCTTAGCCTAGAAACTTCTCGATCCTAGTCCCACCATTTACTGCTTATCTCGCTCCCAAGCCACTCTTTGTGAGACATCGTCGACTGCTTTCTTCTACTGAAACAATTCTACTAGAGATACCTTAAGTTGTGATGTTGTAACATTATTTGCTCTATTAAAAAAACCAACAAGTCATACCGACATATCAGGATGGCGTCTAGTCAACTAGGTAGACAAGTGGGAGATGTCTTCTTTAGGGACTAACTGACAGAACATGGGGGCACAATTTTTTTGAGATAAATCTACATGATTTGATAAAAAAAAAGGCAGGTCATTTGACATAATTTAATAAGATCCAACTGATGCTTGTTTCCCATGAAATGGGTCCAGGTTGTCAGTCTATGAAAGATATGAAATTTAGCATAAATATGTCACAAGGTAATAGCAACTACAATATAGTAGTCGAACATAATGAAAATAGACCTGCAAAAAAAAAGAACATAATGAAAATAGTTATAAATTGTTTTGATTTTTTTCGTCGGGGTGGGTGCAGCTGAGCCCGGGCTTAGAAATGGATTACCATAAACTAGGCAGATAAGTACAGTAACGAATAGTACGGCAGTGGGCCATGGCTTAGCTCAGCTAGATTGATTTCCCCTGCTCATCGTACGACAGTGTGGCTTGGTAATTTCCCTCACGATATTTTGAAGTCAATTGACCGTGATTGTGCTTCTATCATGAGCTAATTTATTAAATGTCACTTTCCCGGCAAAAAATAAATATAACAAATAAGTAGATAAAACAACAAAAACGGTAGAATTAGGTGATAGCTCGAGGTCAGATCGACCAGATACATGCTGAGCTTCAGTGCGCGTGTGATTCTTCTCCGGTGGTAATTTTCCACCATGCATATACTATGTGTTTGACTCCAGCCGCAACGTCTATGCTCAGCCATCCATAGTTCTCTGCCGCTTCACTCGCACTGCCATTTTTTCAACAACACGACGGCGGCGAGGAATGGAACGTAGCACGATTCGTCAGCTACGGGTAGCTATCAGCCAGTGTACGTAGACTCCTGCTTTGTCCTCGCACGGGCTGTTGCTACGCATCGCCACTAATTATTCTTCGATTATTCCACAAACCATAGAAGAGAAGACCGGGCATGCATTGCCCAAAGTTGAATCTTTCCGATCGAACATGGCAGGGCTGGTCCATCGGCCGAGGATGCGCCGTTTCCCATGGCGCGCTGCCTTTTCTCCGTTGATGATCGGATCCCCTTGTTGCCTTGAGCTCCTCCGTCTCTCTCAGTCTCGATAAGTATGAGCAAGAAAAAACAACGGCCGGCACGCAGCATTCATGGGACAGTTGTGGTCAGCAACTAATATCGCCTTTTCTCTTTCTATATTTTCTGGCGGCTGGAGTGCCGGCATGGCCATTTGCCGTCGCTGTTGCGACAGTAATGGCGATGTCATCTGCGGGCAGGAGGGACAAGGGACGAGCTCTAGACTTCTACTATAAGCAACCGCCAATAAGCGACAGGACAGGCTCCCGATTAAGGTCAGTCAATGTGCCGCGCGGCATTTCCCGGCGCCACTGGCCGGCCCGTTGACGCGACGACTGCCCACCGCCCCCAGGAACACGATGATCCTGAGGCCACACGATGATCAGCACCAATAAACCATTCCACTAACCCTGGTTACAATGACCCATCATCCCTTAACCCTGGGTGCGGCCATCCACTGGCCTCCGCTGTCACGCTCACGCAGCGCCATCTTTCCCGCCACACTTGTCTTTGAAAGCAACCCGCCCGCCCCAGACTTTTTTGCGCGGTGGAACGTTCGACCGCGAGCTTGGTCTCGTGCGTGCGTACGCGCCGGTCCGCCCTGGCCGCCTATAAGAATCCGCCGGCCCAGTCCCCCAAAGCATACCGCGCTTTCTTCCTTGCCCATCGCCGGTTCCCTTCGCTCCCGCCCGCCAACGTCCGTCAGTCGGTCAGTGCCGGCCGGGTCGAATCCATGGCGGAGAAGAAGGTTTGTTGCTTACTTACAGTCGACCGAATTGGGATTTCTTTCTCTTGTGATTTCAGTACGGCTCTTGATTGCTGCTCATGTTTGCTCATCTTGTTTTCTTGTTTGGCGGTTGCGGAATTCAGGTTGTGCTGAAGCTGGACGTGCACGACGACAGGCAGAAGCAGAAGGCGATGCAGGTCGTCTCGGGTCTCCACGGTAATAGTCCCCTGCTTCTCCTTCTCAGGTTCCGTCGGGATCGTGCAGGCGGCTCGCCAGGATCTTCATCGTAGCGCACCAGTCTGTCATCATGCGGCTCACCGAAAACTGTCGCTCTTCCTCAGGTATCGACCAGATCGCCGTGGACACGAAGGACCAGAAGATGACGGTCATCGGCACCGTCGACCCCGTCGTCCTCGTCGAAAGGCTGCGCAGCAAGTTCCCCATGGCACAGATGATCTCCGTCGGCGCGGCCAAGGAGGAGAAGAAGGACGGCGCCAAGAAGGAGGGCGAGAAGAAGGATGGCGAGAAGGAGGGCGAGAAGAAGGAGCAGGTGGTGTACCCGCCTCCGTACTGGTACCCGCCGCCGCCGCCGTACCACCTCGCCTACAGCCGCGAGGAGGACCCCAACTCGTGCGTCATCTGCTAATCGACGCGCGCCGCCGATTTCCACCTCTGTACATTTTGTAGCTGGCCGTGTGCTGCCTGCCGGTTGCCGATCAATCATGCGTGCCACGGTGATCGACGGCGACATGCGCTATACATAAGGCCGTGTAAGGATTTTGCGCCGGTGGTCCCTGACCCGGCGGCTATGCATCTGCAATGTTTATAAAGTGCAGGTGTGGAGAAAAATTAAATAGAACTGCTCACTTGGATTTTCAGAGGAAGTTCATGGAGTGCTCCCCAATGGTGATAAGAAAGTGCTGAAATAAATAAACTGTAGGTGCGGCAGATTGAGCGAGCCAGGCACAATGGGATCGTAAAAAAATTCAGGCGGCTTGCTAGATTGGTCACTCGTGCATCTTTACATTTACCAACAGAAAGTCTGAACTCTGAAGCTGTCTGGATGTGCTCCACCTGAGAGTCACTTTCGGCCAGTCAGCGATCTCGATGAAAAAAATGCGAACATGTTTTAGATATTTTGGACCGGCTTTAATGATGCGGTTGTGCTTCCCGCAACAGCGAGTAAGCCCCCGTGGCACTTCGCTCATAAGTCCTAACACATGATTACGACATAATGCACATGAGTGGTACATTATCAACAATCCATCTCACAAGACAGGCATTGTTAACTGCAGGTCTTAATCTCTGCCCTAACAGCATTGAGTTTTGGGTAATAACTACTAACATCAATTGTGTGTTCTACCGACGGCTGCTAAGAAACCGTGCGCGTTTTATCTGCTCATTAATCTATTTGTTTGACTTTGGCTTTGTGATCATTTTACTTCGTTCTATGATCGATGAAGTTGCTACAAGCAAGTTTTCTCTTCCAATTACAAAAAATAATACGACTTAGCAAAAACACAAATCGTCGAATTAGAGTTTGGTTCTTCGTAGCCTAAAGGTGCAACCACACTCTTAAATCACGCGACAAGTTGTTTGACAACAAAAAAAGATCACATTTCTGTATTATTTGTAACAAAGAAACAATGTTTACCGTCTTTAAAATAACATACTTCTTTTTTTAGGACAAACAAGAATCATTTCAACAAGTCGTACTCACACGCAACATAATTTACTGCTGCTCGCCAACAAGGCAACAAATATGTGTCTGACTTGTCCACCCAATTAGCTGTCGCTTCATCCTAATCCTATCAAGTCTATCCGGCATGAAGCGTCAAGCAGAGCAAACATAGTTATATGGAGTAAAATTGGTGACTGGATTGCGACAAATTCAGATTCGCAAATTCCAGACAGATCCACTAGTATGTACTGTATCTAATACAAAGAAATCTCAACATGGGGCCCTCATTTCACTTCACATCTAAGCTCCCACAAATTTATAATGCAGCAACAAAAAAAAAACTAGGACAAAAAAATAGACCACAAACAGAATGAACATTATGTCACATCTAGATCTGTCCTAGACGGACCCTTCACTTTTTCATTGATGTGCCGAATACTCTCCTCATATTTGTTTACTTGCACAATCTAAAGGCACCCCCTAAAAAATCTACTAGTGCCATGTACGTACTCCCTCCGTCCGGGTTTATTAGGCCCCATCTTATTTTGTGCTAAAGTTTGACTTGCAAATTTAACTAATAAAATGTAAAATGTATGTCACAAAAGTTATATTGTTAGATAGCTCTTTCAAACACAAATCCAATGGTGTTATTTGTGTATCATATTTTTTATATATTTTTAGTAATATAGATGGTCAAAATCTGGCATGAAATACAAAGGGGCCTAATAAACCCGGACGGAGGTAGTAGCTATCAGTGACAACTCCTGCTTTGTCCTCGCATGGACCGATGTTACTGCATTGCATGCATCACCACTAATTCTCCTCCCATTATTCTACAAACCGCATCCGCATTTTCTCCATGAAAAAGAACGGAGGAGTTGAACGTTGAAACTTTCCCGCGGAGCAGATGGACCCAGCTGGGGGCATTGGTGGGCGCGCGCTAAGACAGAACAATAATGCGCGGCTTATTACATA